ACACTGATCAAGACAGCCTGGATGGTTTGGAGGATCGACACATATGTCCGTGGAACCGAGCAGAGAACCGAGAAGCAGAACCACAAAGGTCCTGCCACTGGATTTTAGCAAAGCGCAAAGGTCTTGTCAACAACATGTGGTGCTGGAGCAGCTGGACAGCCATAGACAGTGGAGTCGTGACCTTAACCTAACCGTTCATGCCGAAGAGGTGAACTCAACTGGAGCACCGAGCTAAGTGCAAAGTGTAGCACTGTAAAACTTTCGGGGAAACAGGAAACCTTCGGGATCTAGGGCTTGGTACAGAGTTCTTAGGTTTCACATCCAAAGCTTGATCCATAAAAGAAAAAAATAAGTTGGACCTCATCAGAATTAAAAACTGTTTTCTTCTTTGGGGCGCCTGGGTGGCTTAGTCGGTTAAGCGTCCGACTTTCCGACTTTCGCTTAGGTCATGATCTCGCGGTTTGTGGGTTTGAGCCCCGCGTCGGGCTCTGTGCTGACTGCCAGCTCGGAGCCTGGAGCCTGTTTCAGTCTGTGACTCCCTCTCTCTCTGACCCTCCCCTGCTCACGCTGTCTCTCTCTCTCTCTCCCCCTCTCTCTCTCCTAGAAATAAATAAAATATTAAAAAAAAAAAAACTGTTTTCTTCTGTAAAGATGAGGAAACAACAAGCTACTGACTGGGAGAAAATATTTGTCGACGTGTGGTCTGACAGAGGTCTTGTAAGTAGGAAATAAGAGGGGATTCTGAACTTAGCAGTAAAAACAGCACACTTAGAAAGTAGACAAAAGACACAAATAGACACAAAATATCATTTAAAAAGATACTTGGGTGTGTGAAATATCAAGCAGTGAAAAGTTTTTCAACATCTTTAAAGCCACAGTGAGGGGCCACTGGGTATGTATCAGAACAGCCAGACTACACGCAGTGATGATGGCAAAGGCTGGCACACGTGGGCTGCTTCCACGCCAGTGCACTGTGTGGGGTGGGAGCGCTTGGGAGAAGTTGGTCAGTTCCCTGAAGAGCTAAGCGTGCACTTACCACATGCCTCAACTGTTCCTAGACGCTCGTCCCACAGAAAGGAAGACTTCTGCTCACACAAAACCTGGATGTGAGCATTCGCAGCAGCTGCATGTATGGCAGCAAGAGCCAGAAACGAGAAGTGTCTTTAGGTGAGCGCTTAAACCCATTGGCCCATCCCCACGGTGGGGTAGGGCCAGCTGTAAAAGGGAAGACCTCACACACACAACAGCATGAGCGGATCTCAGTGCATCGTGCTGAATGAGGAAGCCACAGCCGCATGGCCACACTCTCAGAACATGGTAGTCAGAGAAATGGCGGGTGGGGCAGGGCAAGTGGGACCACCAGAGGCTCAGCACAAGGGAGGTCTTTGTGGTGACAGAGCAGCTCTGTATCTGTGGTGGTGGTTGCATAGATTGCTCGTGTGACAGAAGCTACGTAGCACACCCCCACTCACGTGTGCATGTGTGTGGAAGGGCCCATCTCCTGGTCTTGATGCTGCACTGTGGAATGTAGGGTGTTAGCACCGTGGGAAATGGGGTGCATCCATGGGACTCTCCATACAGCCTTTGCAGCTTCCTGTGAATCTTGTCGTCGTGGCAAAATAAAAGTCCCAGGCCAACCATCTGCTGCCTCACAGACACACACCTGAGATGGAGGAACACCAAGATGCTGGAAAATGAGGACCGTCAGAGATGAGCTGTGTTCTCACTGCGAGAAACCGCTGTGGCTGTGTTGGAAGAGTGTCCAGTGGGAATCACTTGGGACAAGGGCTGTGCCCTGGTGATGGGCAGCCTGGGGGCACAGCATGACTCGCTAGCTGCGTAAATCAGCACGAGCAGCTCCAAAAGTATTTCAGATGAAGACTGGCGGAATGGCAGAGAGGAGTACTGTCATAGCGCAGCCTTGAGAACAGAGCTGAGCAAACTGTGGCCCCATGTTCCGGATCCAGCCCATAGCCTGTTTTTGTACCATCCTGCAGCCTAAGAATGGCTTTTACATTTCTCAGAATTAAAAAAAAAGTTTTTTAAAATGTTTATTTAAAGAGAGAGAGAGATACAGAGTGTGAGCTTAACCGACTGAGCCACCCAGGCATCCCTGGTTTTTACATTTTTAAAGTGTTGTTTCTGAAAAGAAAGAATGTTCAACAGGGACTGTACAGGGTCAGCAAAGCCTGGAGTCTTTACTGTCTTGGCTGCTAACGTAAAAGCTGATTGATTGAGCCCTGCTTTACCGCCTCCCTGTCCAGAGCTGATGGAGCAAGCAGAGGGGAAATCACTGAGGGGCAGAGTACGAGAACACAGTGGACACGCTTGACCTCATCAGCATATAGATATGCACCCCAACCTGCAGGACACAGTGCACGTGGGCACCGCTGACATTGACCGTGTGGTGGCCCTAACACCCCAGCCAGTCTCAAGCCATTGAGGCCATAGCTCTACTTTCTGACCACAGTAGAAATGAGCTGGAAACCAACAGTAACACAAAAATTAAAACTCCCATTTATTTGAAAATTAAGTGGTATAATTCTGATTAACTCATGGGTGGAAGTAAAACTCACAGTAGGCATGAAATAATCTGAATGACAGTGAAAATAGTAATATTGAAGTTTGCAGACAAAGCTCAAAGCTGTTCTTAGAAGGAAATTTACAGTGTCAAATGAATATGTTGGGAAAGAAGGAAGGCTGAGAGCCTATGGTGTGAGTTGACGTCTCTATAAATTAGAAGTGAGCAGGGGCACCTGGCTGGTTTAGTCAGTTGAGCGTCTGGCTCTTGATTTCACTTCAGGTCATGATCTCATGGTTTGTGGGATCAAACTTCACATTGGAGTCTACACTGACAGTGCGGAGACTGCTTGGGATTCTCTCTCTTCCTCTCTGTTTGCCCCTCCCCTGCTCATGTGTGCACACATGCTCACTCTCATTTTCTCTCTCAAAATAAATAAACATTAAACAATAAATGAGCAGATCAAACCCAAAGAATATGATAGGAAGATCATAACAGCAGCAGTCAATAGACCATAGGAAAGGAGAAAGCATAAATGGCCCATAGGAACAGCATCCTTGCAGGGCATGTGGGCACTAAAGAGATAATGAGAGGGTATTATGAACAACATTACACCAGTAAATTTGGAAGATTAGGTAAAATGAATGTATTCCTTAAAAAATACAATCTATGTAGAAGACTGAAAGAAGAAATAGAGAATTCAAATGGTTCTAAATCTATTGAAGACATTGACCCTGAAGGAAACCACAAACCCCTATGGCTCCTGGTAGAATGTACCTCCACCTGTGATTAATCAGCGGCGCCTCAGCCCCACAAACCTCTTCCATGGTTGCTCTTTTTAGGACAGTTTAAAACAGTGCTGTAGTGCTGTACAACAAATACACTTTCTTTTTTAAAAATGTTTGTTTATTTTGAGAGAGACCGCAGTGCATGTGCACACAAACCAGGGAGAGACGGAGGAGGAGAGAGAGAATTTGACTCCTACTCAGCGTGGAGCCCCACGCAGGGATCTGTCTTTCAACCGTGAGATCATGACCTCAGCTGAAATTAAGAGTCAGACACTTAACCGACTGAGCCACCCAGGTGCCCAACAAATACACTTTCAGTAAACCTCAGATTCACTCTAGGGCAGTCACAGTTCATGATAACTTTCTTAGAATTATGATAAGTTTTCTTGTATTTCAGTAAGTGAAGTGAACCCTTATAAAGGAGTTGAATCGTCCTTGACTTATTTCATGGTTTATTTTGTTTTTATGAACTCTATTGGATATGCAGTGACACTTAAAAGAGCCACTGTTGGGGGCACCTGGGTGGCTCAGTTGAGTGGCCGACTTCAGCTCAGGTCATGGTCTCACGGTTCATGGGTTCGAGTCCCACACTGGGCTCTGTGCTGACAGCTCGGAGCCTGGAGCTGCTTCGGATTCTGTGTCTCCCTCCCTCTCTCTGCCCCTACCCTGCTCACGCTCTGTCTCTCTCAAATAAAACATTAAAAAAATTTTTAAATAGCCTTGTTGAATTGGAGCAGCTAGGCCAACCAGACACTGACAAGGAGCAAAGCCACATGGACACGTGCTTAAGTATCAGTTCACTTGTATGCATTCGGCACAAGCCAAGAATCCCAGAACCGTGAGCGGCTGCAGGCTCTCACCAGACACAAGAGCCCACCTGAAGTGCGTTATGGCAGCTACTCTGGCCAAGCGCGGTGAGAATGTATGATGTCAGGGTAGGTCTGACAACAAAAAGAAAATTTTAGATTTATGTGATCTTAATTTGTGAAAAGTTACTCACCAACTCTATGAGATAATTAACACCTATAATTAGAACAACCGAGTGTGTTTTTTTTAAGAATACGGTGAACTCAGGGCGCCTGAGGGGCTCAGTTGTAACCGACTTCGGCTCAGGTCAGGATCTCACGGTTCATGGGTTCAAGCCCCGCGCTGGGCTCTGTGCTGACAGCTCAGAGTCTGGAGCCTGCTGCGAATTTGTGTCTACCCCTCTCTCTACCTTTCCCCCACTCATGCTCTGTCTCTTTCTGTCTCTCAATAATAAATAAATGTTAAAAAATTTAAAAATATACATAGTGAACCCATCAGTATCTCAACTGATAATCATTTGGCTTCTTGTCCTTTGCCTTCACTTTTAAAGAAGCTTTCAGAGGCGAATACATGAAGGAAATGACCTGGCAGTATTTTCCTGGTGGACCACAGCTCTGACATGTCAAGGAGCTGTTCCAAGTTGTGGCCCAGAGGGCAGTGTACACACAGGCCCGGGCAGATGCCTGAGGTGTTCACGGTCGGGGCACGAGTGAGCACGCACTCACAGATGCCGCTCCCTGTCACGTCCCGCTGAGCAGCAGAGCTCACAGAGTGGCTGGCCACCGGCTCTGCTGTGAGCAGAGCGAGCACACAGTGCTGAGGGGCAGGTGTCCGCTTCCCCACGAGTGTGACCCCTTCTTTACGTTCTCTGTGTGCCCCCACAGCTTGACTACATCGACCCCCGGGCGGTGCAGCTGGGCTCCCTGCTGGTCCGCGGCCTTACCACTCTGATCTTGGTCAACAGCGCGTGCGGCTTCCCCTGGAGGACCAGTGACTTCATGCCCTGGAACGTGTTTGACGGGAAGCTCTTTCATCAGAAGTACCTGCAGTCGGAGAAAGGGTACACTGTGGAGGCCCTAGTGGAACAAAATGTGAGTCCGCGGTGTTTTCACACTCAGAAACCGCCAACAGGTTTGCGGTCAGGTGCTCAGGTGCCTCGTGAGGCTCAGGGTCCTGGGCCAGATGTCAGTGCTGTCTGTCCCAGTGGTCACTTTACTGAGGAAAGCAAACATGCATCTCAGAAACATCACACTGGAGGGGCCACTCATTCCTGTCTGAAGTTTTACACACTTAGCATGGATGCTGCGTACCTTGTGCAGGTCTCTGCTCTTCCGACCCAGGAAGCCACGAACATGGGATGGGAGGCCTGAGGCCTCAGGGCCAGCGTGCAGCCTAGCCTGTCCCGAAATACCGCCACAGGGCTCAAGTCCCCAGGCTCCTGCTGAGGGAGGGTGAGGAGCCTCCCGGCCAGGCCAACACAGCACCTCTTCAAGCGCTTTCTCTCCTTTACCCTTTCTGAATGAAGAAGGAAGGTTTATCCAGAGGTGACTAATAACCTAATGGGAATAGTGACTGGGTATTACCTGAAAATGTGCCCTGAAGGCTGTGGTTCAGTGGGGGACATCGGCTGCCTTCCTGCTGTGTGAGTATGAGTGCTCCATGGTTCCAGAGCGGCCCCCGCGTGAGGCCCCCACCAGGCTCATGTGGAGCGTGCGGGGATAGCCTCGAGTATGCGCGAGAGCACAGGGTCCCGGGAGCACTCCCCAGCTGTGAGGGTGATGCACACTGAGCGTCACAGCAAATGGAAAACATTCGGAGAGGTGCTCCCGCCTCTGTTCCTCACACAGACCAAACCAGGGCACCCGAGGGCTTCAGGTGTTCAGAACTGAGAAGCAGCCAGTATTATGTGCAGGCAGCGGCGGGGAGTGGGGCAGGGCACTGCTCAGATCTGACTTGTCACCGTGTGGGGAACAGATGCAGGAGCAGGGCAGGGACGACTGCAGCCGCCCCCTGTGAGCCCCCCGTCGTGGCCCCGGGTCTGATGCCGCAGTCACACACCAGGTGACCACAGGCTCCCACCTGTGGTTTAAAACAAGTTGGGGCAGATGGGGCCGCGTGTCAGCAGTACATGAAGCGGCACGGAGGGGCGAGTCTGCCCCTGAGAGCCGCCACCGCTCTGACGACAGGCCCAGGTTTGTTAGGGAGGAGCACGTGGTGGTGGCCCCGATGTCGCCACAGAGCTCAGAGACCTTTGGGCAGTGACTGTGGGCCAGTGACTCTCAGACCAGAGAGGATGTAGCGCTCCCTCAGGGGTGTCAGTTTTCTGAGAAGCTCTTGTTTCAGTGTCAAAGGAAGTGCTTGCCCAGAGTTCTCGGACACCGTTGTCACTGCCGTCGTGACTCCAGAGTGTGTGCACAGGCCTGACGCCGCTCGTGCTGTCTGCTCTGTCTGCAGAGGTCCCGGCTGACCAAGTTCCACGCGCTGAAGGCGGTCGTGTGCAAGGCTTGCGTGAAGGAGAACCGGCGCATCGTCAGCAGGCAGCACTGGCGCGCTCCTCAGCCAGGTGGGCACCGCGGGCACCGTGGCCGCCGGGCCAGGCCCTACCATGCGGCATGCCGTCCGCTGGTGCTGAAATCAGCAAAAATGCAGACTTCATGCCGTAGGGTGCCGCCCAGCCTTTTATGTTCTGGTCCCTTTAGGAAAGGCCTCTGTCAGAAGAGTTCTGCTTATCCCGTGACCAAGAGCTCATCGTGGGCTCCTCCCTCCCCACGGTGCCTGCAGCCAGCTGCTGCTCGCATGGCCTTTGTGTGACCAAAGTTGTTTCTTCTCATGATAAGAGTGTATTAGAAACATGTAGCATATAAATAAAAACAGTTAAAAAGGAAATAGAAATAATCTCTATTCTGTCCCCTAAAGATAGCAGATGTAGACAGATGATTTTTTGCAGTATTTTTCTGTGCTTTTATCTCCTTGTGATGATCTTCTGTGCGGCTCTGCCTCTTCTGGGTCCCGACTCCTCAGACGGCGGCCCAGCCCTGCACCCAGAACGCAGCCGTGCACAGTTGTGGAGCTCTGAAGGGGCTTCCGTTTTATGTCCATGATTTCCTTGAAATAAAGCAGCATGGTGTACATATTATAGAACAAATTGCAATCAAATTTTAGATCAGTCTTGCCAACTTGTTTTCTAAAAGCCTTTTATCACTTTATACCTTCACCAGCAGTGATGAAGAGTTTATTTTGTGGCCCCCTGACCGCATTTACCGGTCGTTTTTTTAAACTAATTTAACAGATTAAACACTATATCTCGTTGACTGGGTGATTATCACTGAAGTTGGATGGCTTATAGATTAGCTTCTTGATGAGTTTTTTAAAATTATTTCATGTCCTCCATCGGTTAGGATCGGTGCCTGTAACTCGAGCAGCCCCATTTCTTTCTTTGGTGGAATTCGAGAACTCACCCCTGTTCCGACCCGGCAGATGTCTTCAGGGCCTCGGCTTGGCGTCTGCCTTGCTGGTCTCTGAGAGGCTTCATGCGGTGAGGTCTGTCAGCCCCGGCGGGATGTGCCTGCTCCTGTCGGTGCCGTGCGGGACCTGCCCAGAGGAGAGTCTGGGGGCAGGAGCGGGGCCTCCGGAGAGCGAGCAGGGCACTTCGTCCCCCGACTCCCAGGAGTGACTCCAGCCTTGTCCTGGCCTTCTGTCTCCCTTCGGCTTCGTCCTTTCAGCTGTGGAGAGGCAGGGTTTGACCGCAAAGCAGGAGCTCATTCCTTGCAAAATACACGTGTGAGACACTCTCTGTTGCCTGTGCCTGAGGCTGGTTTGCGTCCTGTCCTGCACACACAGCGCCGTGGGTTCCCAAGTGGTGGCCGGAGGCTGCTTTGAGTTGGCAGGAGACACTGAGTCAGACTTCGTCACGGAGAAGGTGTCAGAGCTGAGGAATTTACGAGAGGAAGCTCCAGAGTGATTAAGTGTGTGGAGGATTGGGAGGGAGGCACACACACCTCGTCTGGCTCTCGGGGCCCCAGGCCCACCGCTCACCCAGAGCCCGAGTGCTGGGGGTCCAGAAGCCGAGCTGGCAGCCTGCAGAGCCCAGCCGCCGGCCCTGGGAGGCAGGGTCAGTCAGAACCAAGTGCGGGGACCCCGCTTGGACGGAGCCCTAACAAAGCGCCCCTGATCTGGCTCAGCGCCCGCTGGTCTGCTCCTGTGTCACCTGCACACCATCTCCTGGGGAACGTGTTTAAATGTGGATGTCCCACTCCCACCCCCGCAGCCCAGCTGTGGCCCCCAGTCTGCACTTCTCTCGGGCCTTCCCTGTGAGTTAAGGACGTCAGAGCTGGTGCCACCCGGCTGCCCTCGTAGACGAAATGTGTTATTTGGGGCTAGACACGTGGCAGCCCCCTAACGTGCTGATCGTGTGTCCCTGCAGGCCGGTGGGGGAGGCCGGGATCCGGCTCCCACAGGACGAGCTCCGGGTACAGCCGGGCAGGCCGCGGACCGCACTGGAGGGATCAGGGTCCAGGTAAGAGGCCGGCGGCCGCGAGCTGCTCGTGACGGTGCCGCCTCGGCGCCGCGCTCCTGCGGAAGGCCGGCCACCCGACGTGTGTTCGCGCGTCACTTTGTGTTTACAAGTAAACAGGTCAGTACGCTGACAGTGTCTCATTTCATTGCTCAGCGAAGTAGAGACCAGTAATTTCCAAGCTCGGCGCTAATCTGTCTCTGCTCCTTGCCACTTTGTTTCTTTTCTATCAGTTTGTTCATCTGTTTGAGACCCAATTTTTTTTTTTTTTAAAGTAATTTTTTTTAATGTTTTATTTCTAGGAGAGAGAGAGAGAGAGAGAGAGACAGCCTGAGCAGCGGAGGGTCAGAGAGAGAGGGAGTCACAGGCTGAAACAGGCTCCAGGCTCCGAGCTGGCCGTCAGCACAGAGCCCGACGCGGGGCCCGAACCCACGACCCGCGAGATCATGACCTAAGCGAAAGTCGGATGCTTAACCGGCTAAGCCACCCAGGCGCCCCTTTTTTTTTAAATTTTTAATGTTGAGACCCAATTTTAATAATTTACTCAAAGAAAGGTTCTTGTAAAGGTTTCCTGTACACGCATCCTTCTGATGAAAAAACAGCGCAGAAAGTAGCATTTTACCAGTAGCAGCATTTTGATATTTTCTGGGATTTGGCTTGTACACATAAGAGCCTTTTGGGTGATCTAGGAAATCAAATGAATCCTTTACTTCTTGGGTGTGTAATACAAATGTCTGATTCTGGTGCAGAAAGCTGAGTTTAATACATAGTAGTGTACGTTTTAAATACAGAGAAAACCTCATCAGTATTTAAACTCAGAATTCCTTACAGTTTTGAAAACCAAACTGTACAACTCTTACATGACCTAAGGTTTACAATGTTATCCTTGCAAATACAAACATATCTTTAATTTAATTCAGTGTTTCGCAGACTCTAAAATATGTAGAGTTCACAGATCACTCGCATTACCCCCCTAAAGCACAGCCAGTCTGTGTCGTGAAGCAAAGCCGCCTTTCCTGGTTTGCCTGTGTGGGCGGCTGTGGCGTCTGCTCCTGTGGGATGCGGTTGAAGGGAAACCCGAGTCTCTCCTTCTGGCAGAAGCGGCAAGGGTCTGCTGTGTGGTTCAGTGTTGGCCGAGGTTCGTGACGACAGTGTTTGAAGTGCCCAACCCTGGGGGACAGAGGACAGCTCCGTAAGATTTGTAGTTGTTGCAGGCGTCCCTTTCAGCTGGTGAGTCAGCACCGTCGGCCTGGCTGGCCCTGCTGCCCACCGCCACCTGGAGCTCCTGGACAGTCGGCCACATGCGTGTAGCAGCGTCCCACCCTCTCCCCGCCTTGTCCAGTGTAGGCACACGGCACCTCCACCTAAACCATCTGAGCGTTGGTGCTGATGCGGCGCTACTGGGATTAGAGGAAATTCCTTCCCTCCGTTATTTCAAGTACATTTGAGATTGCTTTTAATTTAGAAGGTAGTGCCGTTTATTGAGCTCAGCTACAGAGAACCCAGAAGATGAAGGAGGGTTTGTAAACTTACCTAGAGTCAGACTCTGACACCTAGTGCTGTGGGCTCGCGTCAGCGAAGGTGGCACCCCGGGTGTCCTCTCGTTGGACGCATTCTGCGTGCACAGTGTCGGCCCTTACACAGCCTGTTGAGCTGAGCTGCCTTGATACATACGCAGCGTGCGGCACCCTGGGCTGGAGCTCCACCCAAGTCTCAAGTGTGGCCTTGCTCCGTCGGGCTGCCCGTCTCTGCTTGGGGTTCCTAACCCATTAAGAACGACACGTCTTCCTCCAGCAGCCAGGAGGGCACGGACAAATGCACACTTGTCTCCCTCCCTCCCTCCACACCCCAGTCTTCACTGAGGGTCTGAGAAGACCCCTGTGAGAGGTGCGCAGAAGGCAGGGCCCCTGGGGCCCTGTGCGGCTGCGGGGGAGCGGGAGGCAGGCAGCAGAGGAGCAGACCTTTTAGAGCCTCACGACGCTGGTCAGAGTTCACTCCAGATGAGGTGCTCTGTGGGCCCTTCTGGAGAGATGTTCCCTTAGTCACCAGACCTCCACCCACAGACCTCAGAGCCCCTGCACCCTCGGTACAAAGCTGGTGATGAAGCTGTTTTGTAATCCTAGCAGGGTTTGAAGTGTTAAGTCCTCATACCGTGTCTGAAATACATGTGTGATGGGCTTGGAGCCGAGGACGGTCCCAGCCCTGTCCGTCTGCGTATCCCGTCCCGGGTTTGTTTAAGTAGCAGGACCCGGGTACCGGTCACCCTTGAGGTTACGGTGGTACCAGGCGCTCGAGGCCCTGGCCCGTCCAGGCGAAGGTCAGAACACACCCACCCAGCTCAGGCAAGCAGGGTGAGGGAAGGCGGGCTGGACACCTTCCAGGCAGCCCGGCGTGACAGGGTGTACTGAGTCCTCCCCATGTGTCCCCTGAGCAGATGGCAAAGGCTCCCCGGCAGCCCCTCTCCCCACCGTCACTGTTCAGGGCCTGGTGTGGGAGGTGACGACCTTCCTCTTAATCCCCTCGGACTTGGCCTTGTCTCCTTTTCTTCCTGCTGGCTCTCAGGACGTCAGGAAGGATGAGCTACTGCAAAGTCAGGGTGAGGGGGGCTGCACGGGGAGCCCGGGCACAGTGTGGGGGAGACGACGAGCCCCACAGGGAGGCGAGCACGGTCCCCTGTGGCCCGTGGCTGGCGTGTGTGCCTGCGGTGGGACCGACAGCCACCGCGTGTACATTCACACGTCCAGGCGGCCACTCCTATGCTGCTTCCCCTTAGATGCTCCTTTGCCGTGTCGTCGGCCTCCGGCCCGGGCAGCCTTGGTGACCTCCGAGCCCTGAGCCCTGTGGTTCCACCGGGCAGTAATGACACGTGAGTGGGTAGGTGGAGCTGTTCACAGACATGCTGTCAAGGACGTGCCTCACCTTGACCCCAGCTAGGTGCCCTTGAATTTGAGCTTCTCAGAGCAGTAAGCCTTGCAGGATTTATCTTACTTCATCTTTCCCAGAGGAAGCCTGCTGCAGTGGGTTCTCACGGGTGGGCACAGCTCACTCCCGGGACCCACCACTCACCTGTGGCCCGACCGGAGCAGGGCACAGAGCCTCCGGGTCTGCCTGGTGTGAAGGCCACACAGAAAGGGCTTCTCGCTCCCGGTGTAATCCCCCCACCGACGTGACCGGCTTGCATTTCAGGGAACATTCGGAACTCTTGGGGGTGCTTGTCAGACTGGGTGCTGGGCCTAGAGAAGCGTGCTTTACCTCTTCCTTCCTAGTCCTGTTGAAGCAAGGAAACCCTAATGGCCTCAACGGCCAGAGCCTGAAGCTGCTTCAGAGGTGCCCTGGTTTGAAGCCAGTCCCTCCTCGGGGGACAGGACCATGGTGGTGACACCAGAGTCTGGAGGTGGTGGTACGTGAGGGTTTGGGGCTGGAAAACGTGTCCTGGAGACCTCGGGTCAAAGGCAGACTTGCGGTGGTGAGTGCTACGTTAGGGTCAGACTGCAGAATTCAGGGTTGGAGATCCGGCTTCCAGAGCTCAGTCGCTGGCAGGTGGCAGGGACGCCCGCAGTGGGCACAGCGACACGCGCAGATTTGCTGAGCTGCCCGGTGCCCACCCGAACTAGCGGAACACCACGTGTCAACTGCACTGAAAGAAATTAAAAACAAAAAAGAATTTGGGCGTGGGGGCGTGAGGAACTGAAAGACTCCTGCGGGGCACGGACACTGTGTTTCATTTGCATTTTGCCTCACATGGACAAATGTTCACAAAAATGTTCCTGGTGGTACCAACATGTTTTCTAATTTCAGATGTTTCTGTACAAAATCTATGTTCACACACGCATGTAAAATCTTTCATTTGTTAGGACTGGTTATCCCCTTGTTCACCTTTAATTACTGTGATAGAATTACATCCTCTTTACTGGGCCCCCACACATTTTGCTGGTTTTTTTCTACCCTTGAACTCGTAGTTTAGTATTTTTTAGAGATATGTGAGTAGCCTAAGAAGAAAGTTGTCAGTACTGCCTGGACAGGGTTATAGTAGACAGAATTCTTTGTTTTAGTGAAAAATTAGAAGCGCCTCAGAATGAGCATGTTGAGTTACTGAGAGACAGTTGGGAAGATTCCGGGGCCAGTGCCTGCCTGGCGCAATGGATGAGCGGGGAGCCTGCCCACGCGGCCGGGCAGGGGGCTCAGACACGGAGCTGTGGGCCCTTCTGGGGTTCCAGAGTCCCTGGGAACATTTGCCCCCAGACCTGTGAATCCCCGCCCGGCCTCCTCCTTGCACTGGGGAGCATCAAAGCAGCTAAAGTGAGAGCATTTTAATGTCTTCCTTACTGTTGGTGAGAAATGTGTTAAATTCCACAGTCAGTATCAAAGCACATTTGCCGGTGATTCCTTCAGATTTTCACTTCTCGGTGGTAATTCCGTAGGAGGCCAGGGCTGTTGTAAAACCGCCTCTGACCATCTGTGATAACAAGGAGGGGCCTGGAACGCTCATCCCGGCCTTGCTGTGACCTTCTCCTCCACCCAGCCCTCGGTCAGAGCCCCTGCCCGCCTCACACTCGTAGGGGTGACGAAGGCCGCCCTCAGCGGGAGAGGGCGGAGGTATGGGCGTCATCAGTCAAGCAGAAGCATGGACAGCTTTGTAGGAAAAGTGTAATTTTCTGAATGTGAAAACAACTACCTTTTCCAACGGCAGGCTGGCCTCTAGCTCTCCCCCGGCAGGAAGGCAAGAGGCAGCCAGCTGCCCCGGCAAGGGGGTCTCTGCACTCAGCTGTAGAGCCACACGTTGCTTTCTCTGTCCTTGGCAAAGTGTCCTCTGTGAGCCATCTGCACACGAAGTCCCTTTCCCAGTGTCATTGGCAGCAGAGACCGTCTAGATTCAGTGCAGGTGGTGGGACACCGCTCCGTCTACCAGCAGAACCACCTCTTAATTAATTGCTTCCTACTCTGATGGAAAGTGTGTGCAACAGACTTTCCATCACAGTGGCAACCTCGGGGAAGAGAGGAAAGTTGTGTCCTCCAAGTACAACTCAGCAGGTTTTTATACATACTTAGAAATGCGCAGTTTTCACGTTTTGAATTTGGAGAAACGTAAATTAACTTAGCTTTGGTTTGCATGTCTGTTTGGTGCAGGAAATAGACAGTATGAGCCTGACCATTGGAGAAGATACTCATCCTCCTCCGGGTAAGTACACCACTTCCATCCTGAGAATAAATCCATCTCATCAAAGATGGAAGTCAAGCGTCTGCCTTTGTAACCTAAATCTTTCATGTCAGTCGCTAAACTTTAAAACAATTCCGATGTCAAATTCTGAGATGGGGCTAGAGCCCTGGGGGTGCGCCCTTCCCGAGAGTGAAGCCTTGAGAGCCACACTGCAGCCTTGTCCTGCGGGAGGTCTAGACCCAGCTTTTCACGAAAAGGAAGGACATCCTTTTCAGTGACTTCTCCCTTGTATCATACAAAGAAGCTCCCTATTGACTTATTCTCAGAGGTTGTGCCTGAGCCTGTGGCCCCAAACAGTTGTTAACACCTTCACCCTACTTTCTTCATCTGTGTCTTTGCGGCATGGTTGATTTTTTTTTTTTTTTTTTTAATGAGTTGGAATCTTACTATGTCTTGCTTTTTTTAACTTAACACCAGATGGTAAGGATTGGAGACATGATGCCCTGTGGTTGTATAATATTTCCAGAATTGCTTTCTAATTATAAATACAGAGAAAGAAGTAACAATCTCCTTCTCGCCTGCCCGGCAGGAGACCCTGCTCTGCATGGAGGGCCAGCCCTGCCTGGGAAGCATAACAGCATGTGGCCCACAGATCTGTTCCCACTGTGTTGTCCTTTCCATCTTACTTTTGCCAGGCCCCAGCTCAGAGTTCCTGACCATGGTCGTGTGGGACGGGTCCACGTCCATCAGGCAGCAGGCCTGCGGGCGTGTGAGAGGAGGCAGTGGTTGAGTGTCAGCAAGCCTCTTCTGCGATGCCACTAAGGAATGGTTCGTTTGTTGCTCTATCTGAACACTGAAGGGGTTTTGTTTTTATTTTATTTTTTTAATGTTTCTTTATTTTTGAGAGAGAGAGATAGAGACAGCATGAGGAGGAGAGGGGCAGAGACAGAGGGAGACACAGAAGACAGGCTCCAGACTCCGAGCTGTCAGCACAGAGACTGACACGGGGCTTGAACCCACGAACCATGAGATCATGACCTGAGCCAAAGTCGTACGCTTACCCGACTGAGCCACTCAGGCGCCCCCTCTTTTTTTTTTTAGGGTTTTTTTTAATCCATCGTAGATACATCCAAGTTTCACAGGAGAATTTTCAGATAATTCAAGAATTGAAATTTTAAGCCCAAAATTGTACTGAGCTCAACCCTTGGGGTCTTACAACGGAAAGAAATCGAGATTAGAGGTTAGAAGTCAGACCCTGCGTCAGTAGCTTGTTCTGCACCACACACCGTGGCCCTAAAGGTTCCCAGAACCTCTCAGAGATGCGCGTGCACATTACCCAGAGGACGTGTCCAGCTGCTGCTGTCTGTAAAGACTGAAGAAGCCCTAAGGATAGTCAGAGTCCAGTTTGTATATTACGCTGGATGAATTCCCTCAAACAGCTCAAGTATGCAGAGCTCCTGGCTTTGTCTTGCCTTAAAAATCCCAGCTAGCATTTACAGTCTCTAGATAGCTTAATACTTACCGTTTTTATGTTTGAAACATGCTCACCACTTCCTGCAATTCCTTCTGAAGCACATTTGCATATCTAATTACTTTTCATGCAAGTCTTGTAGGACCTACCACCTAATTTCCCAGTTTTAGAAATAGATTTTTTTCATTTTCCTTCTGGTGTTTCCTGTCTAAATACTAATATTCTGTTTCTTTCATTTCTGCTCATTGGAGACCACTGCTGCTTCTAGAAGTTTCATTTCTTTGCTGCTATTTTTTATAACTAAGATAAATTCTCATCCCTTAGACTAAAGGAGTAGACCTCCATGAAAATCAATCTCCCCCTTTGTAATATGTGAATTCTAACTTATCAATAAGGTATTTGAGGTCAGTTAGCAAGCTTAAGTAAGCCACTGAGTTGGTATAATCTTTCTTATGTTTGAAAAGTCAGTACAATAAGTTTCTGTGATCTTATTGTCATTACGTAGGTTAATTACCTCTGCAGCCCAGTCTTCTGATGAAATGCCCATATATCAATTTAAAAATGAAAATAAAATAATATATTTATCACTCATAAATATAATTTCACATTTTTTTCATTATTTGGAAGACATTTCACCATCCGATACATTGGGATCTTTGTGAAGGAAAAGAATGTCGGATTTTGTCAAATGCTATTTCTACATCAATTGAGATGATCATATGATTTTTTTCTTCATTCTCTTAATGTGGTGTATCATGTTGATTGTTTTGCATACGTTGAACATGCCTTGTGTTCAAGGGATAAATATCATTGATCAAAGCATATGATTGTTTTAATATGCTGTTGAATTTGGTTTGCTGGTATTTTGTTGAGGATTTTTGCATGCTTGTTTATCAGGGCTTTTGGCCTATAGTTTTCTTATAGTGCCTTGTCTGGTTTTGATATCAGGTATGCTGGCTTCGTAAAATGAGTTTGGAAGTTTTCCTTCTCTTTCAGTTTTTTGGAAGAGTCTGAGAAAGATTGGCATTACTTCTTCTTTAAATCTTTGGTAGAATTCACCAGTGAAGCCATCTGTTCCTGGACTTTCATTTGTTAGGAGGTTTTTAATTACTGATTCAATCTCTTTTCTCATTTATTGGTCTGTTCAGATCATCTGTCTCATCATGATTCAGTCTTCATAGGTTGTATGTTTCTAGGAATTCATCCATTTCTTCCAGGTTGCCTGGCTGTTGGTGTATAATTGTTCATAGTAGTCACGTCTGTATTATCAGTTGTCATTTATCCTTGAGTGATCTTTTTCTCTTGTCTAAAGGTTTGTCAAGTTTATCTTTTCAAAAGACCAATTTAGTTTTGTTCATCTTTTTTATTGTCCTTCTTGTCCCATTTATTATTTTTCTTTTAATCTTTGTTTTTCATTCTGCTGTCTTTGGGCTTAGTATGTTCTTTTTCTAGTTCCTTGAGGTGTAAAGTTAGGCTGTTGAATTGAGATGTTTCTTTTTTCTAATGTAAGTATTTATTGCTATAAATATCCCTCTTAGAACTGCTTTGGTTGCATCCTATTAGTTTTGTGTCCCATTAGTTTTTGTATATTGTATTTCTGTTTTTTTTTGTCTCAAGATACCTTTTGATTTCTTTTTGACCTATTGGTTGTTCAAGAATGTGTTGTTTAACTTCCACAGATCTGTGAATTTTCCAGTTTTCCTCCTCTTATTGGTTTTTAGTTTCACACCATTGCAGTCAGAAAATATACTTGATATAATTTTGATTTTGTTAAATTTTCAAGACTTGTTTTATGGCCTAATCTATGACCTGTTCTGAGGGATATTTTGTGTATGCTTGAGAAGAGTGTGTATTCTGTTATTGTAGTTGTCTGTCAGGTCCATCTGGTCTAAAGTGTAGATCAATAGGTCAACCAATAGATCAACCAGTAGAACAACCAAAAGGTCAAGGAGTCACCAAGTCCAATATTTCTTTATCGGTTTGCTGTTTGGATGACATATGCATTGTTGAAAGTGGGGTATTAGAGTCCCCGCTATTATTATATTGCTATCTATTTTTCCCTTCAGTTGTGTTAATATTTTCTTCATATGTTTGCAAAATTTGTCACCCTTTCATAATAAAAGCTCTCAATAAAGTAATTCTAAAAGGAACATACCTCAACTTAATAAAGGCTATATATGACCAACTAGCCCATAGCCAGCATCATACAATGGTGAAGCCTTTCTCTAAGAGCAGGATGCCTACTCTCACCACTTCTATTCAGCATAGTACTAAAAATTCTAGCCAGAACAATTAGGCAAGAAAAAGAAATCAAGGAAATAAGATCTGTTTGATAACATGACCTCATAGAATACCCTAAAGATTTCACCAAAGACCTGTTAGAACTTTCGGTGAATCCAGCAAAGTTGCAGGACACAAGGTCAATATAGCATTTCTGTATACTAACAACAGAGTATTCAAAAAATAAATTAAAATAATTCTAATTATGGTGGCATTAAAAAGAATAAAATACTTAGAAATATATTTAACCAAGGAGGTGAAAGATCTGTATAATGAAAAGTACAAAACACTGATGAAAGAAATTGAAGACACACAAATAAATGCAAAGATATTTTGTGTTCATAGATTGGAAGAATTAATATTGTTAAAATGTCTACACTACCCAAAGCAATCCACAAGTTCAGTGCAATCCCTATCAAAATTTCAGTGGTATTTTTCACAGAAATGGAACAAATAATCCTAAAATTTTTATACCGTAAAACAAAATACCCAAAACAATCTTGAGAAAGAACAACAAAGCTAGAGGTGTCACATTTCTTGATTTCAAACTATATTACAAAGCTAAACTAATCAAAATATGTGGTATTTGCATAAAAACAGACTCATAGCTCAATGGAACAGAAGAGAGAGCCTCATATGTATGGTCAACTAATCTTCAGTAGTGGTTCCAAGAACACACAGTGAAGAGAGGACAGTCTCTTCAATAAGTGATATTGGGAAAACTGAATATCCACATGTGTAAGGATTTAATGAAGGGGGTGAAAGACTATACTCTGAAACCTATAGAACATTAATGAAAGAAACTGAAGAAGATACAAACAAATGGAATAGTACATCATGGTCTTGGATTGGAAGAATTAATATTGTTATAATGTCCATACTATCCAAAGCAATCTACAGAATCAGTGCAATCCCTATCAAAATACCAATAGTATTTTTTACATATTTAGCATGAATAGTACTAAAATTTGTATGGAACCCCAAAAGACCCTGGATAGCCAAAGCAATCCTGAAAAAGAACAATGTTGGAGGTTTCACAGTCCCAGATTTCCAGGTATACTACAAAGCTATAATCAGAACAGTATGGTACTGACACATATGTGTCAAATATGTATACGTGACATATAGACACATGGATTAATGGAACAAAATAGAGAGCCCAGACTTAAATGCACACTTACATGGTCAGTTAAGCTATGACAAAAGAAGCAAGAATAGACAATGGGAACAAGACAGTCTCTTCCATAAATGGACAGCTACTTGCAAGAGA